CTTTCTGCGCACTCTGCTGATACTGGGGGAGTTAATGCAGCTGCTCATGTTCATACTAATGATGTTGGTGCGGCGAACTCGACGCTGGCGAATCATCATGCACGTAATAATGCTGAAAACGACGCTGGTGTTATCAATACGAATGCAGATGTGACTACCAATGCTACTTATAACTCTGCTTGGTTAACAGCCGAGAACAGAAGGAATAAGAAAAGCAAAAAGCGTACTCGTGTGATGGGTTCTAATGTCTGTAATGAACTTGGTGTAGCTGCCCGTGTTAATGTTATGTGGCTACATTTGTGTTGTGTAAGTAGTTGGCAACCCTATGTATGCATGTTAGTAAGTAAGAAGAATGACAAAAGAAATAAAAGAAGATTCAGTACAAAGCAACCACTCGTGTCGAACACAACATAACATGGTGTCAGATCGCGGTCAAAAAATAAAGAAATAAATATATATATATTTTCATCATGCCTACAGAGAAGGCGCAACCAACAGCAGAATGCAGTAAAGTGGTCAGCATGGCTACAACAGTTACCCCATTGGACCTAAAGGCAACCAATTTGTCACTCGCATGGAATAATTGGAAAAATTCCTTCAAAATATACATGCGTGCAGCGGGGCTGGAGCAAGAGACCGACCAGCAAAAGGTGGCACTATTGCTGCACCACATAGGACCGGATTCGCTCTTGGTGTTCAACTCGTTCAACTATGATATTGATACGGTTGGCTACGATGAACTCCTAAAAAGTTTTAACGACTACTTCGTGCCTAAAGTGAATGTGGTTGTGGAGAGATATCGGTTCTTCTCCAGGAAGCAAGCTGAAGAAGAGACAATTGAAGAATTCGTAACTGTTTTAAAGAACCTTAGCCTATCATGCGAATTCAAAACTTTACGGGAAGATTTAATAAGAGACATTTTTGTGTGCGGGCTTTCGCCAAGGTTTAAAAGTGTCAAAGAACGCTTGCTCAGCGAAGTGGACTTAAAATTAGATAAAGCAGTGGCAATCGCAAAAAACATGGTCTTAGCCAAAGAAAACTCAGCCGAATTGGGTGCAGATAATGAAGTTTATAGCAGTTATCAGGAACAAAAGCGGTGACCACGCAGTTAC